AAACCAGACGTCCCAAATCCGGCCTCGACACCTCCGTCCGCAGAGATTCCACCTGGTGGGGGCCGCGCAGCCCCCGCCCCGCCGCCCGCCTGCGCCCTCGGCGGGGCCGCTCCCGGCGGTGGAGCCGCTACTTGCCTGGCAGGTTGTTGATGTAACCCCCGTCCATCAGCAAGTTGCCGTCCTTGGGGTCGCAGAGGGGCGGGAGGTACCCCGAGAGGGTCATGCTGGCTCGCACGTAGCGCCAGAGCGAGCCTGCGCCGGCGGGAACAAACGGCGTCAGCGCCGCCCGCCCCGCACCCCCCGGTCCGGGGTGGGGGGGGCTGCCCCTCGCCCCTCGCCCTGCCCGCGGCGCGTCTGCACCCCACGGGCGCCCGGCGGGCACCCCCGGGTGGCAGAGGAGCCCGTGGCGCGCCCTGACTGGCCCTTTGCAAAGTCCAAGTGGCTCGAGGTGGGACGGGACGTGGGTGTTTTAGGGGGCAGATGTGGGTGTTTCGGGGGGTGGTCGTGGTTTTTTTTGAGGGGTGACAGTGGTTTTTTTGGAAGGTGGCTGTGGTTTTTTCGGGGGGGTTGGGGGGTGGGAGGAGGTGGGTTTTTGGAAGGGGAGGCCGGTGGCCCCGGCGAGCGAGGTGCTGACCTGGGACATTGTTAACATAGCAGCCGTCCACCAGCCAGTGGCTGTCCTTGGGGTCGCAGAGCGGAGGCAGGTAGGGGGTATAGGAGGCACTGGCTCGGACGTAGCGCCAGAGGCTGCCTGGGGATGGAGAGGACACGGTCACGGCCACGGGGGAGGTGACCCAGGAGGTGCCCGGGGGCGGGGGGACGTTGGCAGCCCCGTCGGAGCGGGGAAGGGCGAGCGGGTGGGTGAGTTAGAGGGGGTGAGAGGGGATTAGTGGGTGTTAGAGGCGCGGGCAGAGCGAGAGCCAGGTTGCTGACGGGCCACCAGGGCGGCCCGTGGACGGCAAAATGTCCCAGGTGAGCTCCGCCACCGAGGCAAGGAGGAGGGGCAGCCACCACAACGTTCCCGCCACCGCCGCGACGACGGTCCCGTCACCGCCGTGTCCCCACCTCATCGTCCCCACCACCACAGTGACCCCACCTCATCATCCTCACCACCACAGTGACCCCACCTCATCGTCCCCACCACCACAGTGACCCCACCACCACCACACCATCCCCACCACCACGATGATCCCACCACAACACCCTCACCACAATGATGAACCCCCCACCACTGTGGTGTCCCCACCTCCCCCCTGTCCCCGTGCCCAACGTGCCGTGGCTGGGGATTACTGGGGTTAGTGGGGTTACTGGGTGTGTTAGTGGCTCGTGCAGCCTCCCCAGGGTCGGGGGGCACCTCCAGCCCCCCCCCAGTTCTGCCCCCACCCCTCCCAGGACCTGGGGGGCACAGTCAGACCCCCACGGGGGCACAGTGATGTGGCTCTGGGAAGCCACCAACCACTGCCCGGGCTCACCACGAGCCCTCTGAGCCCTGCCCTTGCCCCCACGGCACCGTTTTGGGGTGCTGGCGAGGAGGGTCCCCCCAGTGGGGGACGGGGTGGCCCCCCAGGAGCTCCCCCGGGCACTCTTACCATCGGTGTGCACGCGCATGGCCGAGGCCGTGATGTCGGTGGTGACGTTGAAGTAGGGCAGCCACAGGTCCTGGGGGGACAGCACGGGGTGGGTGACGCCGTGGGGACATCGAGGGGGGGAGGTCAGTGAGGGGCTGGACCCTCGCCAGGGAGGGGGTGTGGTGGGGTGTCAGAGGGTCACACCTCGATCTGCTTGTCCTGGAAAACCTTGTTGATGCTGGCGTTGAAGGCTGAGCCCGAAAACATGGAGGTGATGGGGTAGGTGAGGTCCAGGACGGTCTCAAAGACCGAATTCATGCACTGGAAGAGGAGAAGGAGGAGGAGGAGTAAGAAGAGAAGGAGGAAGAGGGAGAAGGAGGAGGGAGAAGAAGGAGGAGGAAGAAAAATATGGAGAGGAGGAAGAGGAGGAAGGAGACAAATGGAGGAGGACGAAGAGGGGAAGGAGGGAGAAGGAGGAAGAGGAGGAGGAGGAAGAGAAAGCGGAGGAAGAGGAGGAGAAGGAAAAGGAAGAGGAGGAGGAGGAAGAGGAGGAGGAAGAGAAGAAGGAGGAGGAAGAAAAATATGGAGAGAAGAAGGAAGAGGAGGAAGGAGACAACTGAAGGAGAAGAAGAAGGAGAAGGAGAAGGAGGAGGAGAAGGAAGAAGAGGAGGAAGAGGAAGAGGAGAAGGAGGAGGAGGAAGAGGAGGAGGAAGAAGAGGAAGAGGAGGAGGAGAAGGAAGAGGAGGAGGAGGAGAAGGAGAAGAAGGAGAAGGAGAAGGAGAAGGAGAAGGAGAAGGAAAAGGAAGAGGAGGAGGAGGAGAAGGAGAAGGAGAAAGAAGAGGAGGAGGAGGAGAAGAAGAAGAAGAAGAAGGATAGGAAGAAGATGGTTTAGAAACAATGCAGGCAAGGCTGGTCATGGGTGGGGGCCCTGGTCGGGGTGGGGGAGGCCCCCCGGCACCCACCTTGGCCCACTCCCGTGCCCGCTGCTTGGTGCGCACGGCGCTGCGCTCCTCCGCGTACAGCGCCCCGATGAAGGCGCCGATGGAGGTGCCGCCCACCATGTCGATGGGGATCCCCGACTCCTCCATGGCCTTGATCACTCCGATGTGGGAGCAGCCCCTGGATGGAAGGACAAGGAAAACCAAGATGGATGAGCCCAGGACCCCCCATCCCATCATGTCGATGGGGATCCCCAACTTCCCCATCACCTCGATGTGGGAGCAGCCCTTGAATGGATGGACATGGAAAACCAAGATGGATGCGCTCAGGACCCCCCCACCCCACCAGGTCAATGGGTGACTCCCCCATCACCCCGACGTGGGAGCAACCCCTGGATGGATGGACATGGAAAACCAAGATGGATGAGCCCAGGATCCTCCACCCCACCATGTTGATGGGGATCCCCGACTTCCCCATCACCCCGATGTGGGAGCAGCCCTTGAATGGATGGACATGGAAAACCAAGATGGGTGAGCCCAGGACCCCCCACCCCACCAGGTTGATGGGGATCCCTGACTCCTCCATGGCCTTGATCACCCCCATGTAGGAGCAGGTCCTGGATGGATGGACATGGAAAACCAAGATGGATGAGCCCAGGACCCCCCCACCCCACCATGTTGATGGGGATCCCCGACTTCCCCATCACCCTGATGTGGGAGCAGCCCCTGGATGGATGGACAAACCCTACAAGAGCATGGATGAGCTGAGGATCCCCCAACCCGCCGGGTCCCACCCGCCACGTCAATGGGGATCCCCAACTCCTCCATCACCCCAGTGTGGGAGCAGCCCCTGGACAGACAGACAGAGACAGACAGACGAGGAAAACCAAGACGGACGAGCCCGGGACCCTCCACCCTGCCGGGTTCCACCGTGTCCAGCACCCACCTGGCGCCGCCGCCGCCCAGGACGAGGGCGATGGTGTTGCCGGTGAGGACCCGCGCCAGGCGGGAGAAGTCGCTGTGGCGGTCGGGTTCCTTCTCAAACACCTTCTCGTACATCTCCCGCTGCCAGGAGGGGACAGACGGTGGGTGATGGTGACCGTGGAAGACCATGGAAGACCACCAAGGTCACCCGGTGATGACGACCATGGCAGGTCACCAAGGTCACCCAGGGCTGGGGACAGTGGTTGACAATGACGACTGCAGGTCACCAAGATCACACAGGGCTGGGACAGACAGTGGGTGATGATGCCCATGGCAGGTCACCAAGGTCACCTAGGGCTGGGGACGGACAGTGGTTGACAATGACCATAGAAGACCACCAAGGCCACCCAGG